GCCATTTACATTTTACTATATTGTATGGTTTTGCTTGCTGTGGTGACCTATAGTTCCTTATATTCACATAAGGTTAGTCTATGGATGATAGTTGTCTCATTTGCAATCGTAACATATGTCCTTATTCGTTCATATTGAAAAATACAAAGCGTGTTTTGCCGAATCTAAGACCGTTTTCTTAAACTCCAAGTTAAATTCAAAAATGGGAAATCTATAAAAACTGTCAAAATCCAACGTTATCAATCAACGGAACGAGTGATAAACAACTGGCATATTCCCGACTTGGTGCAGGCATTTTCAAAAGAAGATGGTGGATTGGATTGATTTTATAGCTAGCTTAACCTCCCACTTGTATGACAGTTGTTTAGAGTTCCGTTATATTGACAAAATTTGATGAGCAACACAAACAGACATAAACGAATAATGTGACAATATTTCGGATCAAGCAGGGGTAAACATACAACACAACTGACTTCAAAATTCAAACAAATATACAAATATATATATATAAAAAAAGACGTCGACAACAAAGTTTGTGAGTCGATAGTATATTAAACAAAGACATCAACAAAAAAATATGTCATTGTCAACATTGTCATATATGTGGATAATATTATTGAAAAAGTGGAAGATGTGACAATAAATTAATAATTCCGTATTGGTTGAATAGATATAAAAATACATCCAAATAGTTTACTTTGTGTTGACATATTCATAAATTGTTTCAACTAAACTTTGAAGGTTCGTAATACTTAGGATTTCTACCCTAGGAATAGAAAACACTAGTTGTATTTGGCAAAAACTTTTCTGAATTTTGTGATCTCAATGCTCTTTAACTTCGAAATTTATTGCACGATGAGGCTTTAGCAGACGAAATGCGTACATAATTATAAGCTCTTTTATGAGTTTTATATTTTATAATTTAACACTTGATTAATACGGAAAAAAAATGAAGTCGAACATAGGAATCCTGAAGGCACATAAGGTTGGACCTTGTGGATCCCCTATGGGATCTTATAATTATTAAAACGATATCTGTTCAATTTAAATTATATCATTTAAACTTGATTCAAGTATCAACTTTCTATGAAACGATTTTTTACAATATTTCACCATTAAATGAGCAGCGTCATATAGAAATCGACATTATACAAATGAATATCAGTACATCTGTTAATCTATTTTGGGTTGGAAAGTCTGTAACTGTTTGAAAATTGAGTTGTTATAAAAACCGTACAGAATACACCAAAATTAATTTTCATTTTGTATTTGAATTTTCAAAAGCCAATCAAATTCTTATACATGCACATGTAAACGTGGACTTGCTTAAGGTCGATTTTTATCGCACCAGCTCAAATACTGATAAATTCGAAAATGTCTGCTCCAAGAACCGAGAACAAATGAAAATTAAAAAAAAAAAAAACTAGAGCAAACACAATTGTTTCGGTGATTCGTTCTTTTATAATGGTAGGATTTCTATGATAATTAAAGTTGTGACGATCTGGAGACCATTTACCCATCGCCAATGCAGCACCATCTATCCAATTATTGTAATTTTGATTCAAATGTTACGCTTTACACCAAGAACTTTACAATATTTACTTCATAACCCAAGAAATGTTCATAATCCATGTCTTAGCGTTAATTTAAAAAAAATGTACTCTTTCTTCACAAACAACACACAGATATTACCTTAAATGGCATTAGAGTATTTCAGGATTAATATATTTGTCGCTTTTCTGACCACCAAGATCATGCCTGCCTCGGTGTTTTCCTTGAAATTTACTATTAGTCAAGATGGATGAAATATGATTTTTTCAATTTCCTATACTTAATAATTCAAACGATTTCCCTGGTCAACAGGTACTCCACGACATATTCAAGTCCGAAGTTCTAACCACATGACAAACAAAATTAAAAAAAACATTCGCTTGAATGCCCCTGTTTATCTATCTACAAGGAATAACCTAATTGTTTCGATTAAATGTCAATGTTATAAACAAAGATTTTCAGAAATAATGAGCATATCAATGTTTTTTCATGCCAACAAAAAATGCTGAATACTGGACATATGCCACTCTCTGTATGTATAAGAGTTATCATTGGCGCTCAAATGAATAAAGTAAGAAGGCTTAATCAAACTCGAAGCTGAAAGCATTGTGATCCAATAATCTCAAAAAGTTGTGTCAAATACAGCTGAAGCCATCTTTGCCTCATGGTAGAAGAGCCTAATTGGTTCGAATAATTAAAACCTGTTTTATAAACATAACACAATATTATAATGTTGACGGCTTTGATTGTTTTATTGATGCTTACTATATATATGAATACCTGTATGGGTGTTGGGGTCACCAGGACAATGTCATCGTGCCTGTAAATAGATATATATCATTATCCGTTCATACTATTCATTTGGACAGCCAAGTGGGTTTTAGGGCACATATCAAGTCCGTTCATTAGCTTTGGTTGCTTCATCTTAATGTGACCATGTACTTCGAACTTTGTTAAATTTTTCTCAAATTACATTGTCTGAAATTCTATAATTATAAGATGTTTTTGATGTTCAGTGTGTTATTCTAAAGATACATTCGCCAAAGAAGTTTTACTTTACTTTACTGCTGGATTTGAAAAGAATTGAATACAGTCTATGTCTTATACAGTGAAGTAAAAGATGTGTCACATGGTCAATGCCATGCAAATTGTAAATACAAAATCAAACCACACCTCGCAAATGTACATCAGTCAGGTTACACTGGCATGGTGAAATCCCTAAATAGTTTTTTTTTTTATAATAGATTTGTGAGAACATTTTTGAAAGACCTAGATTCGTAATCATTGAAATATCATTCAGTTGCAATTAAGAGGGCATTTTATCGTGAAATCCAACAGTACCAACTGATGCAAATACAGTAAATTTCCATGTGATTGTTGTCTGCTGGCAATCGGGATGTTTGTTATGTTTTAATCAAAACTTCCTTGTTACCTCCCTCAACAGCTTCCTATATTTGGACATTAAGAAAACAAAGTACTAAATATTTGTCCCATTGACGGTAATGCTATTTAAGTCGTAGTTTGTTTATCTTACTTTTTAGACGCTTTTATATCAAAAACCATTAGGTTAAATTTTCAAACATATAATATTAATCCTAACCAGTGGTGCATTGACAAATAAGATTGGAAATGTAAAGATAAACGATTTAAAGTGTACTCAAAATTTTGTTATTATTGGTGGAGCGGCTGATAGACAGGTAAGCCGTATAACAATATATAACTGTTTTCAGATTTATTATATAGTGAAGTAAATTTGGGAAAAAAGAAATATCATAGACCTTTAATACTGTGCAGCCATAATGATTATTTAGTGGTCAACCTTTTGGACATTGTACAGTAAACATGGTAAAGGCGCATCCGTACGAGTGGAAAATACACCTTGCATATTTGTGAAATGTCTTCAAGTAATGTCATCTTAATAAACAGGTATTAAATTTATACAGTCCGTGGTAAAATGTTATGTTGGAAAGGCAGTTATATTTGTCTTGCGACAAGTCTCCTACAGACACATCAAAGTAATGATGCAAGAACTATATATATTTGACGTACATAGATTGTGCCCTGGAGTTGCTGAGTATTATAAACTCATCATAGATGACATAATTAAGATGTATACGCTAGACGCGCATTTCGTTTACAAAAAACTCATCAGTGACGCTCGATTCAATAAAGTTTAGAGGGCCAAATAAAGTAGGATGTTAAGGAGCTTTGAAGATCCAAAATTCCGAAAGTATTATACACTTTAAAGTCGTGTTGCTATATAAACTCGTCATTAGATAGCACGATAAAAATTTATAAGCTCGATGCGCGTTTCGTCTACAAAAGGCCAAATAAAGTTGAAAAGCATTGCGGACCCAAAATGCAGAAAGGTTTTGTCAAATATAGCTAACTAAAGGTAAGTTATTCATGGGGTAAAAAATCTTAGTATTTCGAAAAGTTCAAATTTTGGAAACGATTAATGTATGATTATGCCCATATCAATGATAATTCTTATCAACACGGAAGTGCTGACTACCGGGCTAGTGATACCATCGCCATGGTTGTAAATAAACGCATTCTAGATACCAAGATTAAATTTATACACCAGACGCGCGTTTCGTCTGTAAAAGACTTATTAGTAACGATCGAGTAACAAAAGGCAAAGAGAAAATGTGTGTAAATTGATTTTTGTTTCGTTCCAATGATGTGACATCATCATTTTTATTTACACCCTTAAAAGGGCGAAACATACATGTTTTCCACAATTGTACATTATATTACATGTGTAGAGTAGAGGCGAATTTTGTTTGAAAGCTAATGTTATTCTTTATTGTTTTTTTTTATTTACGATACTATCTTTTAATCCCATCTTTATCTGTTGCAACGACCTTGGAGGTTGTACTTTAATAGACATTCCACCATATCCAGGTTTTAACCTTGTTACGATGAGAACATATTGATCTTCAGATAAAAGACGCTTACTTAGTAATTTTGTCTGTGTAGTAATTGTGCACATTCTAATATAACCATTTGAAGGACTATATTGGGTGACGATCACCCCTTTATCAATCCTAAAGTAAGGATAAGTGCACTCCGTCATTCGTTACGAATATTTTAAATAAGATTAATCATCTTTAAAAATACTCTTTGCATCAATCACGTTAAGCTGAATCAATTCTGACATATGTTTACATGCTGCGTCTTTCATTTTTTTTTAAAATGTTTTGCGAAAGGGTAACAAAAATTGAAACTATAATCGTAAAGTTCAAAGTTAACAGATCATGGCAACACATTCTAACGATAAGATTTAACAAGTTGTTTCCGTCGATTATGAGATAGTAGTAAAAATACTATCATATCATATCAGATCAATATCTGGTGGTTGTATGAAAAGAATTGTAAAATTCGATTTGTAATGTCATGCTTCCCTATTTAATACTACGATTTCTCTATTTCATTGCAGATACACAATGAGAAGCAAATACATATATGTAATAATCTGTTACAACACATTAACTACAATATGCGGGAATATACAGCACCATCCATGCAGCTTTTTTCCAAGATGTAGATGCAGCTTAGAACATCACAAAAACTTTGTGAATGTCGACTGCTCACATTTAAAGCTAAAAAATATCCCAACCGTTCCTAGTTATGTTATAAAGTTGATTCTTAAACATAACATCATTGATGAAATACCAAATGGTGTCTTTTCTAACAATACAATCCTTACAGAATTAGACTTGTCTCATAACAGAATTCATAGACTAACAGAAATGTCGTTCAACGGTCTTCAGAATTTGCTAAAATTAAGCTTACAAAGCAATGATCTGTCAAAAGGAAATAATTCGTTCGGTGCCAAAACGTTTTCACAATTAAAGAATTTGAAGTATTTAAACTTAAAAAACAATTTCGTCGAAAACTATCAACCGGACATTTCGAAATTGGTTTCAATTGAAAGTTTACATATTGACTTCATATCAAATGGAATTCCCTTCCTGAGCAAACAATATAGCAAACTACATAAACTTGCAGTGCTCGATCTTTCAGGGTCAACTGGAAAATGTTCACTGCCAATTTTGAAAAACGATTCCTTCCAGTTTATTTCCCAAGTTCACTACTTAGACATATCAACCTGCAAGATTCAACAAATTCATCAAGAAGCATTGAAGATTTTGAAAAATATAAATTATCTCGACGTGTCGAATAACACGTGTATTAAATTTGAAGGACTGAAAAATATAACAAGTGATTTACAATTTTCAAACATTAGAATATTAAAGGTTAACAATCTTCACAAAATTTCTGATTTAACCACAGTATTGAAAGCGTCTCATATTAAGGGTTTACATAACACGTCGCTTCAATATGCGTTTGCCGATGGAAATCGTTTACAAACTATAGAGAAAACCGCATTGACTTATTTTCCAAAATCTTTGAAGTTTGTGTCCCTTAGAGGAAATCCTTTGAAGTTTGGATCGTATATATTCAATGTATTTTTGCTTATCAATTTAGAAACTGCAGACGTTTCAGATCTGTTTCGTCATAAAACGGACCTTCATCCCGAAAACTGTATTGCTGATTCAATATGCACATGCAAAGAAGACTCTGCTATCAAACCTAGTTATATGGATCGAAGTGGGATCACCTCCCGTTATGCCATAGACGAGTTCAATAAAGGGGATATTCCAGATTTATTTAGTCCTGCTGTGATACCGATTCCAAATAATTTAAAACATATAAATTACAGCTCAGCCAGTCTAAGAATGGATGTACCAACATTAAAGCTTTCAACTAATAAGCTGGAAACTGTTGATTTTAGTAATAACATATTATATTCATTGAATGGCCCTATCTATAATGTAGATAGTCTACAAATTCTAAATGTGTCTACTAATTTCTGCAGCAATATTTCAAAATCCTTCTTTAGTTCTGATTTTAAAAACTTAGAGCATTTAAACTTTCATAATAATTTACTTGGTATTGTTCTTCCTGATGACATCGATGGTGAAATTTTTCATAATTTGGAATCACTTATTGAGCTCGTGCTATCTAATAATAGAATTCCAAATCTACCAGAGAATATATTCAAATCACAAAGAAATCTGCAAAAACTTGATTTAAGTGAAAATATTTTTACAAGTATAACTTTTCGTGTTTCACACATGATGCATTTAAAGGAATTAGATTTGAGTGGAAACAGAATAACAATCATCAGTGACCCTATTACATTCCAATGGGAATCTTTAGCCAGAAAACACAACTTTTCAGTGGATTTGACTGATAATATGATGGAGTGTAATTGTATATCAATTAAGTTTATTGAATGGATGACAACAACCAATGTCCGTCTCAAGAATATAAAAAAGTATAAGTGCATGTTATGGAATCGAACAATCACTGCTCTTCACAATCTAAAGGAAACTTACGATATATTAAAAAAACATTGTTCATCATATGAACCATTGGAAATAGCCTTAGTTTCTGGAATTTTACTTTTAATTATATTTATTGTAGTAGCAGTCTTTTACAGATACCGGTGGAAGCTTCGTTACTTATATTACATCGTGAAAGTAAAGTACAGCAGCTTACATTCGGAAACCGAGGAAGAATATTCTTACATGTATGGCGCATTTGTATCTTATGCAGATGAAGATCGAATGTTTGTTCACAATACGCTTCTACAAAAACTGGAAGTTCAAAACGGAATTCAATTATGCTTACACAAGAGAAATTTCCTGCCCGGAAATGACATTGCTACTAATATCACATCCGCAATTCATAACAGTCGCAGAACTCTAGTAATAGTGTCTCATAACTTTTTAAAATCATACTGGTGCATGTTCGAATATAACATGGCACGGATGGAAAGCATATACGAACGAAGAAACGAAAACGTGCTTTTCTTAATGTTTTATGAACAAATGTCTTCATGTGATCTTCCGCTGAATGTGCTTGAAATGATTCAATCCAAGTCTTATATAGAATATCCAAATGATGAATATGGAGATACAGTTTTTTGGGACCAGTTGGTGAATGCCTTGAAATAAAATGTATTGATTTATCTTATTCCTTTCAACTATATAAACAATAGAATGATGATACCACCAAGGGGAAATTAAAAACTCCATGAGAACGAAAAATACAAAAACCGACAAGAAAGCCCACAAAAAGCTACATAGAAAACAATAGACCGAGCAACACAAATACTAGCAAACATGGGGTTATTTTACGTGCTCCGGAATGTTAAGGAATTTTTGCTCCACATGTGTAACCCGTCATGTTGATCATAATATTACATAGCCAGAAATTAGTAGTAATTTTGCTAATTAATATTCATAATATGTCAATGAGAATTGTACCACGTGATAATAGTTTGAACTGGACTGGCTTGATATCATTAAAATCTTTAAAACACGGATATTATAAGTTGCAGTCACAGAGTTCTTGTTTATAATCAGTCTGATATTTCCGTAAAGTTGTCAGGCGGTCAAAATCAAAACATTGAACGCGAATTTAGTGAATTTTTCGTGTTTTCGTGAGTTTATTCTTCTTGAAATTGGGGCATTTTAACTTTACGTGGGAACCTAGAGTTCAACGACTACACATACAAGGTTTGGGCTTGCTTATTCTTTGGACATTCAAGTTTCAAGTTTCATCCCCGCAACCTGTTTTTGTATTTACCTTGTTAGCCATTTTTCAACACGAAGTTTGCAAATTTGACGTTTCAGCCATTTTAGCCTGTATTTATTACTGCAATGTTAAAAGCCTCTCGCTTCGATTTTTAAAATAGATCAGGAACCTTGATTTTTTGCAACGACAGTCATTATGTTTCGTTTAAATGGTGTATATTGTTGTGTATATTTATTTTCTGTCCCCGCAACCTGTCTATCACTTAAATTATATTTAAAACAGACATTTTTTTTTCAAAATTCTCTATCATTTCAATATAATTTCCGTGACTCGTATCCGATTTCATTGGGATAATATTCAAATAAGCAAAGTGGTGTTGATTTCTGGATATGTAAAAACTAGATGATAAGTCTTATTCGACGACATCAAAAACGAGGAAAAGAGAACGTCACATATTACATGTGCACCAAAAAGCTATAAACATGCAAAGAACTATGTCAATTGGACATGCTTTGATACTATATCTGCCCTTGAATTTTTACTTGATAACATTTTTGTTCGCTTTGGAGATTCCGTATATCGTCAAGTTATCGGAATTCCAATGGGGACTAACTGTACACCACTTATTGCGGACCTGTTTTTGTATTGTTATGAGTTACAATTTATGACTAAAATCAGCAAAGACCCATCGAAACAACATCTGATACAAAAATTTAACAATATTTTTAGATATTTGGATGATATATTGGCTCTCAATAATGACGACTTCAGTATGTATACTAAAGAAATTTATCCTGTTGAACTAACGTTAAATAAAGCTAATACTAACAATGACCAGTGTCCTTTCCTCGATCTTGATATCTATATCATTAACGGGAAGCTTAATACAAAAATTTATGATAAAAGAGATGATTTTTCATTTCCTATCGTTAATTATCCATTTTTAGATGGTGACGTTCCCTTGTCACCATCTTATGGTGTTTATATATCTCAACTTGTACGATTCGCTCGTGTATGTAACAACGTATTAGATTTTAGCGAGAGAAATTTATGTATTACTGAAAAATTATTACACCAGGGTTTTCGATATCAAAAACTAGTCATAACATTTACTAAATTTTATCATCGGTACAAGGACATCATTCGTAAATATAACTCAACATGCAGACATCTTATACGTTCGGGTATTTCACATCCAATCTGTTATGGTAATATTCTTTACAAAGCACAAAAATGTCAGTATTCACCTCAAAAGCTAACAAAACCTTTAAACAGACTTATTAAGAAGGGATATAGTTACGATACTGTTGTCAGGTCATTAAAGATTGCATATTTTGGCTTTAATATTGATTCACTTATAGGGTCTTTGCATCGGAATTAAACACATTTATTCTAAAACCAGTTGTTGGCATGACACGGGTTATGTTCTTCTCATATTATGACGGTATAATACTAAACCCCTAACAGGAGGGATTGTGCCTGATTTTCATATGATGAAGACATTATCTTTCAATCAGTTTAATTGAGGTCTGGAGCTGGCATGCCAGTAACTGCTAGTAGTCTGTTGTTATTGTCATTTTGTTTATTTTCTTTTGTTTCCTATTCTGACATCGGACTCGGACTTCTCTTATACTGAGTTTTACTGTGCGAACTGTTGTGCGTTTGTTTTTACTACATTGGCTAGAGGTATAGGGGGAGGGTTGAGATCTCAAAAAACATGTTTAACCCCGCCGCATTTTTGCGCCTGTCCCAAGTCAGGAGCCTCTGGCCTTTGTTAGTCTTGTATCATTTTTAATTTTAGTTTCCTGTGTATAATTTGGAGTTTAGTATGACGTCCATTATCACTGAACTAGTATACACTTGTTTAGGGGCCAGCTGAAGGACGCCTCCGGGTGCGGGAGTTTCTCGCTGCATTGAAGACCCATTGGGGGCCTTCGGCTGTTGTCTGCTCTATGGTCGGGTCGTGGTCTCTTAGACACATTTCCCATTTCCATTCTCAATTTTAAGTTTTATATTTCGTAGTCGTTTTTTTTTTCCTTATTTAATCTACCTTTTTTTGTTATAATTGGTTTCACGTCCTAATGACGTGTATATTTATATTTAATTTGCACACATTATGCAATTATGTTTACATTGGCGAGGAATAATCTCTTAGATGTAATTTGGCACGCTGCTTTTAATTACATTGTGGGCATTCTTTTCACAGGATCTGTAATATAACTGATTAGGTATTTCTCTTTCTCTAATTTTTACTCAATTTATCCTTTTCCTGGCCTGTTGATTATTTTTATTTAATCAATGTGTGATTCGTTTTATCTCAGTTCTTTATTGGTCGAAATTCGATTATGACGTCAAATTTTCTTGCTTTCCTTTTAACTTCCAATTGTGACGTCATGAAAAAAGGCGATCATACCTGAGGACGTCACATAGAAAGAACACATCTTTTTGCAGATCATTCGAAAGGAAAGATTGATTTTTTCTGCATTTCGTTTAAACATCATTAGAGAAACAGATTCCACCACCAAATCTTGTGCAAAACGATATTTATCCACTCTCAACAGTTAGGTTTTAAATATTTAAAACGCTCGGCGAGCTTCGAGTTTTAAATTTGAAAATTTAACTGCGTCGGGTTGATTAATATTGTGTCACACTCGACTAAGTGGTAGAATCTATATTTAATCAACATGTGGTTCTTTTGATCTCAGTTCTTCATTTGTCGAAATTCGATTATGACGTCAAATTTTCTTGCTTTCCTCTAAAATTACTATTGTGCCGTCATGAAAAAAGGCGACCATGTCTGATGACGACACGTAGAAAGAACACATCTTTTTGCAGATCATTCGAAAGGAAAGATTGATTTTTTCTGCATTTCGTTTAAACATCATTAGAGAAACAGATTCCACCACCAAATCTTGTGCAAAACGATATTTATCCACTCTCAACAGTTAGGTTTTAAATATTTAAAACGCTCGGCGAGCTTCGAGTTTTAAATTTGAAAATTTAACTGCCTCGGGTGGATAAATATTGTGTCACACTCGACTAAGTGGTAGAATCTATATTTAATCAACATGTGGTTCTTTTGATCTCAGTTCTTCATTTGTCGAAATTCGATTATGACGTCAAATTTTCTTGCTTTCCTCTAAAATTACTATTGTGCCGTCATGAAAAAAGGCGACCATGTCTGATGACGACACGTAGAAAGAACACATCTTTTTGCAGATCATTCGAAAGGAAAGATTGAATTTTACTGCATATCGTCTAAAAATCATTAAAGAAACAGATTCCACCACCACATCACGTGCAAAATGATATTTATCAACTCTCGACAGTCAAGTTTTAAATATTTAAAACGCTCGGCGAGCTTCGAGTTTTAAATTTGAAAATTTAACTGTCTCGGGTGGATACATATTGTGTCACACTCGACTAAGTGGTAGAATCTATATTTAATCAACATGTGGTTCGTTTGATCTCAGTTCTTCATTTGTCGAAATTCGATTATGACGTCAAATTTTCTTGCTTTCCTCTAAAATTCCTTTTGTGCCGTCATGGAAAAAGACGAATATGCCTGATGACGTCACGTAGAAAGAACACATCTTTTCGCAAGTCATTCGAAAAAAAAGGATTCAGGTTGTTTGCATACCGTCTTAAAATCATTAGAGAAACAGATTCCACTACCTAATCACGTGCAGTACGATATTTATCAACTCTCGACAGTTACATTTTAAATATTTGAAACGCTCGTCGAGCCTTGCGTTTTAAATTTGAAAATTTAACTGTCTCGAGTGGATAAATATCGTATCACAGTCGATGCAGTGGTAGAATCTTTATTTAGATTTATTCTTAATAACAAATAAATCAATTAATAACGTAGTCAAATTTTTTTTATCTTGGGCATAGATCGCCAGATTTTGCATAAATTTAGAATATTTGATTTCCAGTAATCTTCAACTTCGTGATTTATTTGTCTATCCAACATCTTAAATCCGAGCGCTAGATGAGTCTTACGTAGACGAAACTCACGGTCATGCATCTTTCGAGTACATGTTCGGTACTCAGACCCAGCATCAACCAATGGAAACACTGGAGTTGATGTTTCGAGCACAAATGTTGTACGCCGAATACTGTAGAAAGTTTTATGACCAAACGGTCAGGTGTTAACATTATAAGCCTGCTATTTTTGATGAGTTTTGACAGGTAAAACAGTTTACAATATGGAACATGTGGAAATTAGAATGATTAGTTGCAAGTCAAAAAAGATTGTATGACGAAAAATCAAAACTGCTTACGTAATGACACGTATTGCGTTCCGTCTTGGTGATGAAACTTATATAAATGTCCTTTGTACTAACGTCTCTTTAATACTCTTTAGATAAAATTACTGGAAATACTTACTCAGGCATTGCGTTTTACATTTTGT